GGAATAAAAGAGACTTTAGAAGGAAACCCAAATTCTAAATAGGAAGCAAGGGATAAACCTCTACTCCTGTTCAAAAGATAGAGAAGGAGTATGCACCTGGCGATATGCGAACCTATCTACTCCTATTGGAAAAAAAAGTAATTTAACCCCTAAATTAAAAAAAAATAAAATTTTAGAGTTTAACCGAAGACACTAGATGTGTAGAGTTAAACTAAGAACACCTACGATCCAAGTGCATCTATTCAGGTTGGGATGGCTAATTATGTAACGTATTCTATTGGCAATGAGAAACTTCCACACAATTTCTTTCCAAGGGCATTTTAGGCCTGTCAATAGCAGTGGATGCTGGAGAATTTCCTCATGGATAAAGAGGAGATATAAGGCAACAGTTATGCAGAAGGATGATGAGAATACCATGGACGAGGCATGGAAGCAACAAGAAAGATTTAATGAAAATGGAAACAAAAAGAAAAAAATTAATTAAAAAAGGGACCTCAAATTTCTTCAAAGGTATAGTCAGTAAAGAGGGCTTGGAGAATTTCGACACTCTCATGAGATCTTGAAGAAGAATTGACCTTCGTTAAGACGGAAAGGATTCATTCACTTGAATCCATTTTTAATAATTGATATGAGGAAACAGTTGTGTATGAATGATAGAAATTTTTAAATGAATTGGATTTCATGCCTAATATATATATATATATATATATATATATGTGTGTGTGTGTGTAAAATAAGAAAAAATAGAGTACAATTCCACTGCTTGTAACATTTAATTTCAAAGATGGCGAAATACAGAGTAGAGTTAAATATTATGTATTTTAGGATATTAAAACAAAAACATGTTAAAAATCGCTACAATGTTTCTTTTTAATATAGGTCATGACATGAAGTCGTCAGCATATACATCCTAGACAATTTCATTATGGACAAATACAAATGAAATAATGTAACCATTATAACAGATGTCCATAATGAAATTGTCTCGGATTTATATGCTGACAACTTCATGTCATGACCTATAATTAAAAAAAAACATCGGTGAGTTTGAATTTAGCGTAAGTCACATTCGTTTGGTTAATCACGGTAAAGCCTACAAGCCTATTTTTAATTTTTTTTTTTGAAAAAGAGGAAGTATTCTGCTTTTGAAATTAAATAAATCGTTCAATTGCCACTAGGTTAACATCGCTTGAGGAGACACATTTGTAGTGTTGAAACATAATTGCCATTGTGTAGCGATTTGTAACATGTTTTTGCTTTAATATTCTAAAATAAATAATTATATATATATATATATATATATATATATATGAAAATCTCGATCTGTGAGTCTAAGAACTTGGGTTCTCACGTTAATGTTTTGGTTTCGTCGCATCTAGTGGTGTTGGATAAAAGAACCCCTAGGGTAACTTATCCGGCCTTTAATTTCCTTAACTCTTATGCTATATTTTTTATAACTGATCCATACAGCGTAATATTTGCATTGTTTAGAATTTATTAATTCTATTTCTGACTGTTAGAATGGGCCATCATTGGTTTAATTTCCACATCATCGTGTCTATTTTAGAAATGATCAAGTCTTACAGCGAACCTCTTGATGACGTTTACTGTCATTTGATCTTCACTGTAAGCTATCGGCTACTTCTTCTTTGCCCCTGCAAGATGTAGGCGATGACCCTCCACATCTTCCTGTCCCTTGCTGCTCTTAATAAGTTTTGTCTTTTTGCTATTCCTCTCAAACCCTGTTCTATCATTTAATCAAGCTCATCAAGTATGTTGCTCGCTGCTTTCCTCTGTCCTGTGAGTATCAAGTTTTCCAAACCCTCCTTTTTCATTATGTGCGCCAGAGATTTCAACTGCATCTTCATTTTGTTTCCATTTTCTCCAAAACCTTATCATTGCTCACTTGTTCAGTCTATGGTATGCTCATCATCTTTCTGTAGAACCACATTTCTGTTGCTTCAAGTCTCTTCATCGCTGCCATACACGAGGACAGATATTTGGGCACCTCGGCGTGGTGTAATGGTTAGCAAGCTTGTCTCGCTAGATCAGTTACAACTGAAAAGTGAGTTCGATCCTCACTAGATGCCCCGTACTTTCGGCCTTGTGCCACATCTAAGCTACGCTTGGAAATTAACTATTTGGGCACCTCGGTGTGGTGTAATGGTTAGCAAGCTTGGCTTGCTAGATCAGTTACTACTGAAAAGTGAGTTCGATTCTCTTGTGCCACATTTCAGCTACGCTTGGAAAATTTCTACAGGAGAACAGATATCATGTAACTCTTTTCTTTGTTTTTAACGAAATCTTTCTGTCTCTTAATACTCTGCTTAGTTTTTGGAATGCATCTTTGGCTATCTCAATACGACTTCGGATCTTAGTGTCGCACTTTACGTCCTCTGTTAAAACACTTCCCAGATATTTAAATTTCTGTACTTGTTTGATTTTAGTATCCCCGACCTGTAATTTGCATTTTGGTCTCACCCCCCTTTTGCTGATAACCGTACATTCTGTCATCTTGTTGTTCATACTTAACCCTTTCTTTATCCGTTACTACTGGTTTGAAAACTTTTTAAGTAAAGTAATATTTTTCTTTTAAGAATACCGTCTTTATTTTTCTCTTTTTCTTTAAAAAAACCATTTAACAAGAAATGTATTAATGATAACGGAAGGAAAGAAATAGTCGTACAAGAAATTCTTCACGGTATTCTCTAAACATATCCTGTATCCATCATAAAAATTGAGGATGAGAATTTAGTAAATACTAAACACTTCAAATATGTCTGCGTATCTATTAGTTATAACAAATTTAGCATAGGAGAAAACGAAGTTGAACATAATAGGCTATGCTAGAGATAGTTTCGTTCAACACCACAGATTGATGAAAAAAAAAGCAAGACGTTAACCTGAAAACTCAAGTTATGCTCTTAAAAGGCATGTCAGATCGAGACTTTCATATGGTTGTCATGTATGACACCAAACCTATTCAGAAATATCTAAACTGCCAGCATACAAACGATTTCTCAGATCAATGATTAAAAACGTCTTTGAGTAAGTGAAGCCTGTGAGTCTTAACGAAAACCATCTTTCTTTGAACATTGTGGACTGGCGCTACATAATCACAGGCAAAGAACAGTACCAAATAATAGAAACTACAACACTTAAAGACTTTCAACAGCAACAAAAACTAAACTCGATAGTAACTCGAAGAGAAATTAATGACATAATCAAGACGTGGAGATTCCACACGACTTCAAATAAAAGGTGAGGAAGGAAACCCCCATCACTACCGGAAAGAGCGATAACTGTTGCTGGCCTGGGGAGACCTATTTTACTATTGTTTTAAGAGAAAGATTTTATAAATTTTAACCGACAGTAGCACTGGCTGCTTGGTCAATGAATATCGAATATTTCCGGTTAATATGAGGGCCGACTGAAAAGGTCATAAGTAGACCAAGATACTCTCATGGAATAGGAACAATGAGGTTTATTTTTCAACACAGTCTCCTTTGCAATTCACATAATTCTCCCATCGGTGTTGCAGTCTTTGGATCTCATTTGTTAAGAAGCTTTCTTTCTGTTGGTAAAAAAAAAGTCATCAAAAGCAGATATAACGTCCTTATTGTGATACTGGTTCTCAGCAAAGTGTTTTTTGGTCTCAAGGGACAGATAATAGTCATATAGTGCGAAATCAGGAAAATAGGGATGGTGATCAACCATTTCAAAGCCACTGGTACTCCCGACAGCCATTGAAACAAAGGACTTGTGCACTGGAGCATTGTCCTGATGAAACAAGACAATTTTCGTCAGTTTTCCTCGGCGTTTGGCCTTGATAGCCTTCTGTAACTGCCTCAGTAAGTTGGCATATATTAATATGACAACTTACTGATGGTGTGGCCCTTTGGAACATAATCAATTAACAGAATACATTTTAGCCTCCCCCCCCCGCCCGACGTCAAATTGAGACCAACATCTTCCTTGCAGATAAAACGTCATTGGCCTTCTTTGGAACGTATGATCAGGGTGGTTTCCACTGCATGAATTGTCTCTTTATCTCTGGCTCAATGACGTACCCAACTTATCGTGGGTTACGAAACGTTCTAGGAAACCAGCTAGACCTGACTTAAACAATAATAGATTTTCCTGTGACCTGCTTAGCCTTATGCACTTTTGATCAGGTGTCGGAAGACATGGCACCCGCCGAGCAGAAACCTTTCTCATTTCAAGTTCCTTGTGCAGAGTATTCTCAAATCTCTTACGAGATATGCTTATAGCATTCGCTATTTGATTTATACTCAGTCGCTTTTCATCCGTTTTTCTCTGCGATGGCAGTTGCTGGATATCCAACACTTGCGCCATCCTCAAGACTCACATTCCCTTCTTAAATTCAGCTGCCAACTTTTGTACCGTTGATATAACTGGAGCCTCAACCATTAATATAGTAGCCATGTCAATATGAATGTCCTTTGGATTAAAATCTTTTTCTACAGGCACCATTTACTTTTGACGTCTTCTTTGAACAGTCAGGTGTCAGTTTACCAGGAAAGAAACAAGGCAGTTATTAATAAGAAGAGTTGAAATTGATGCCTGTAAGATTTCACAGCTTTAACATCGCTATGAAATATTTATTCCACGATCGTAGCAGCATGACGTCTTTTCATGTTGAGGATATTGAATTTTTTAATAAAGTTTGGAACAGACATATTTAGATGATAGAAGATCTTTCTTTTACAGGGCGTTTTTTAATTTTTAATTTTTTTTTTCAATAGTAATTAGTATGACAATAAGAAAGCCTTGCCTATTTGTGAAATGCTTATTCATCTTTTAAGAATTAATGCTATAATCGTGGGGAAAATGAATATCGCGCAAAAGCAACAAGAATACATTATATGTCTTGATTAAATATTAAAATTTTAATACAAACATTGGGAAGACCAACTGATTTCGATTAAGTTTGTTGAGTGACGTAAATGATCTTATATTTGACAAGCGAAAACACCTTTATGAAATTTAATTTGTATCTCCTCCTAAAAAGTAATATTTATAGAAAATACAAGGGAAATCCAACATATACACATGCATACATTCAACGGGGCTTCTCTTTCTCTCTCTCTCTTTCTCTCTCTCTCTTTCTTTCTCTCTCTCTCTCTCTCTCAGCTTTTCACCTTTTGGAAAAACACCTTCACATTGTTTTTCGCCTTCTGACTGTGTCGTTATGCACAAAACTGGGTAAGTCTCCTTGCACGTTCGCAAAAGAAGAGAAAATGAAGTCAACACCACGATAAGACATGTAAACATAAATCCTGTTTTCAATTATTCACTGTCCGCATTTCGAGTCAGGCGTAGTCGTGTCCCCGTTGGTATGTGCATGACACATAGGTTTCTTCGACTGCCTTTCATACCTCCGTCGAGCAACTGATATTGATGCAAATGGTTGGACGGACTGCTCTTTTCCCTCACTCTAACCGGCAAGCGGAAACTTCTAAATTCCGAACAAGTGTCATTTGACCTCACAAGTTTTTCATTTATTTATTTATGTATATATTTATTTATTCAATTTCGGTTAAGTGTGTGTCCGCTTTGAAACTCTATTTTAGAGGTCTTGCCGTTGGTCATAAAACACAAGACACTTCAGACACAGATAACATCACCTAGGGTTCACTTGACTCTCCGTGTGTCCCTTCCGTCGTGTAGGGATCTATTGCGCTATACACATACGAACGCAAACATACTGCTGCGTCAGATAATTGAGAACAAACTGTAATATAATAATAATGACATTTAATAGAAATACCAGAATGTTAAAGAAAAAATAACAGTAAAGTTAATAACATAGAGAAGTCCATTATCGTTTAATTCCAATTTCATCATCATCATCATTACGATGCTCAATCATATAACCGTATGTGATAGTAGGGTCGCAGCGCAGGTGAGCATCTGATTAGTTCCCGTCATATATCTGGGTTGAAATCTGGAGAGGAATTTATTCATGCGTAGCGTGCCGTGGATAAATAGATCTGGCGGGAGTTTATCCCTCTCCAAATTTAACCATAGCCAATGTCCTCCAACTTGAAGGCTCGTCTTGTTCACGTGGCCGTTAATTCCATCGAGGAACCGTCCTCATTGTCTATTGATTTGATTCTAGGAAACCCTTCACCCTTCGATGCAGGGTAATCACCCCACTGGCTAAAAACATAGCTATAGAATCCAGTCTACCCCATTGTGCTAGATGATCGTTGACCCTACAAGAATCGTCATCCTTCCTTTAACATGTCTTGTTTTATTCTCGCTGGGGATCTAGCCATTCTCCTTACAAGAAAAGTCTGGCTTTTGATGATAATTTCATATATGAGACACGTATGAGACGTAAAACACAAATTTCACCAATAATATATACAGTTCTCTAAGAGATGAATGAAGGCTACATTCACCGCTATTTATAGCTTGTTGGCAGGTGAGTTGGATCATTAAAATAATTTGATTTCACGAATTCTCGAAGTCATTGCGAGTGGAAGGCAGTAGTTATAGTTCCATATAACCAGAAGTTTTGACTAGTGTTCAATCCACCCACAATTTTTTTACAATCATTCCCACGTTACATATTTTGGCTACTAAAACAACTAGAGGGTATATAGCAAACGTATTACATTGAATCCTCTTATCCACGGTTTAGTTTTCTGCTTCTTCCTTTAACCGCGGTAGAAATAAACAAGCGTGAGAATAGTGTCACTGGCATTTCAGACATGTTGAAGAGAAGCCTTAAAGTGCTTCCTTTAAGTGTAAATGTGAAAACTTACAACTTACTAAGGAAGGAAAATGTCATATGGTGACGTTGCTATGATCTACTGTCAGAACGAATATTTTATCGTCGACATAATTCTCATTACAGCATATTGTTATAATCTACTAATTTATCAAGACATACTCTTTCAAATCTTTTATTGCGCTTAATAAAATCTACGGTAAGGACCAATCTTCTATTCAGCACATATCTTTCATTACAGTATATTTTTATGATTGTAATTATAATGGTTTTATTCTTATTATTAGTTATTGTTGTTGATGTCTTCTTGTGCCAAATGGCATACGAGCATATTACGTTGAAACAACAGTTCTCGTAGGGTCAGTGAAGTTAAACAATCTCTAATTTGACCAGTACTTAGATGGGTAACCGCTTAGTAATACCAGATGCTGTAAGCTTGGATGTACGGGAGGTGTCAGGAATAACGGCTTGCAATTGGAAATCGGAGGGCCGAGTTCCAATCCCAGTCGTGGTCATTATATTCATTTACGCGGAAATACCACTGGGAATAGTAAGTATAAACCTTATTTCCCCTCCCCAGCTATAGGTTAATTAGTAGGACTTGTATCAGTAAATCATTCTTATCTCAAAAAAAAAAAAAAAAAATTCTTACAATCTAAAAAAGTTCTGGCTTTAAATAACCTGCAGAAGGTTGATAACTTGAAACAAAAACCAAACAAAGGAATCAATGAAATTAAATTTTGTTCTATGGCACAATCTTTAAAAAAATCAATTCACCCCAAACAAGGCGATAGTGTCACTAAGACGCAACGGGTTACTGGGAGCGAAAGTGAATTAGAAGACTTGACGAAAAGTAACTGAAAACCAAACCCTAAACAGGAAACAAGGACAAACCGCTACTCCTGTTCAAAAAACGGGAAGAAGTGTGAACCGGGCGATAGGTGAATCTTTCTACTCATGTTCTATCACGTAAATTTTATTATCGTATATTGTTTTAATTGTTCGCTTTTATTATTATTTATTGTTGTTAATCTTTTATTTCGCCTAATAAGATTTACGGTAAGAACGAATCGTCTATCCGTCAAATAACTTTACTACAATATATTATTATGATTGCTCTATTTTATTATTAGTTATTGTTGTTAATCAGTTCTTGTGCCAAATAAGACCTACGGTAAAAAGAATCTTCTTGCTATAATTGTTCCATTTTATTAGTAGTTATTGTGATTAATGTTTTATTATGCCTAATAAGGTCTATAGCAAAAATACATCTTTTATCTCTCATATAAACCTTATTATAATATATAGTCTTAATTATTCTATTTTATGACAAGCTGTTCATTTTAATCTCTTATTTCACCTAATAAGATCTACGATGAGAACGAGGCTTCGATCCATCACATAACTTTTATTACAGTATATTGTCATATTTATTCTACATAATGTACCTGGTTTATAAAGTATACTTTATCTTTGGTTTTTATCCATAGGAAAATAATAGCAGAATTTAGTACAATTTGCGTTTTCAGGCATTCTCTGGAATTCGTTATTTTATAAACTATAATTACACTTTTTTTCTGAACAAGCCGAAAAAGTTAAAACATAGCTGTGCTTGAAATACACCTTAATTTTGTTCTATTTCATTTTATTAAGAAAATTCCTCATAGTATTTCTAGTGTTGGGAAGAGTGAGTTGTTGAGTGAAGGCTGGAAAAATCGATATGAGTTATCATTTATATGCTAAAATATTTTCCTTGACGTTGTCTTTTGATATACAAGGCTTTTTTTTTGTTTAAATTGAATTTGTCCATGTTTGGCACATTTATTAACCAACAAAAATGACTACAATAACAGGGCATTTATTCTGGGTCAGCACAAAAAAGTTTCTAGCATTTTTTAAGTGAAATTCAAACGCAATATTTAGATACTGGTTCATAGATTTATTTAACCACATATTTTGTTCCACTTTGAATGCAGCTTCATGATTCTGCCCACCCAGAACATGATATCTTCCTGGGTGAGGAATTGTTCTAAATGTTTTGTACAGTCTTCCGCAGAATTGAAATTTAAGAACCTTAGCATTAAGATAATTTTGTAGGGTTAAAATAAGTGGTAATACGAAAGTGCAAGGTCGGTTGAGTCTGATTCGTGTTGTCGATTATCCCATTCAAATTGAAACAATTGCTGTCGGGTTTGCAACGAGACATGGGGGTCTGGTAATGTCCTGACGGAAGAAGACACCCTTCGATAAGCGAATGTCGGACATATTTCATCGATTGCCGCCTTTAATCGGTTTATTGGAATCAGAACTATTCTTCAGAATACAACCTCTGATTTTGTATAAGACACAATTTCCTTCCAATTCCGCTAAGTGCACAGAATCATCTTCAGATGTAGACCGACTTTTCGGGTGCTTAACGTAGTTTAATTATTGTTTTTCCTCTTTTTTTCGCTCCATATCATGGTAAACTATCCACTTTTCATCATCTAGCGGGGAATGAGTTTGAAATCTGTAGTTCTTCTTATTATGACTTGCTGTCAAGTTTGATTAGAGAAGTAACAGCTTTTTCTGCTACCGATTGGACGGGTAAAGTAGTTTGCTTAAGTACTCAGTTGCACAGATTTATTTGTGCTGTTGGGACAGAGTGCAGAGTAAAGTAGATTCATCCCTTTACTAAGGAAATTACTGTGAATAAGACAGAAGCAGTTTGAGCTGAAACCCAAATTCGGTTTGTTTGGTCTTCGATAAGCGTATCTGCAGTATATATATATATATATATATATATATATATATATATATATATATATATAAATCTATTTTACCCTCTCACAGACATATATATATATATACATACATACATACATATATATATATATATATATATATATATATATATATATATATATATATATATGAAGAAATATAGTCTTAAGATGTGCTATATTTATGGGATAAAGTGCTCAATATCAGAGATAGAGCGTGTGTAAATATAAAAGTGAACATATAAGTCAACACTTAGAGGCGACAGTCTGTTTCATGCTAGATGCAATCCTCAGGCTACGATGCAATCCTCACCACTTGTAGCCTGAGGATTGCATTTAGCAAAAAAACAGACTGTCGCCTCTAATGTTGACTTCTATGTTCACTTATATATATATATATATATATATATATATATATATATATATATATATATATATATATATATATGATTCATTTTCAAGCGATTTCCGGAATAAATTATTTTGGAATTGACTGGATTTATAAGCACAAACAATCTTGATATTATTAATTGTCAAGGTTACGGGAAATCTAAATCATTATTAATGAGGGGTGGTATGGTATTCGTTTCCATCGGCAACCTCTGGATCAAATCTAAGCAACTTTCAAAATCAGATTAAGTTAAGGTAGGGTAAGGGTTCCTGT